AAGTTGATTCCCCAGCTACCAATCCATCTGCTTCTCCCACCTGCCTGCTGAGGAACACGGATAATGGAAGGAGGCATGATTTGACCCAAGGTGGGGCAGGCATCTGGAAGCAGAGCATTAAACTTACCCCACATGAGTGCTGGGGAGGGGTGTACTGATAAGCTCCTTGTCCCTGTACAGGAGGATGCTGTGCTGGTCATTGCTTGAAGGCAATTGCTTTTATACTGGCCTGAACATAATGCATTTATGTTTGGGAGATTTTGTCATGGTTTCATCCTGCTTTTCAGCTGGCTGTGGTCAGCACATTGGCTGCCAGCTCCCATCAAGCCTCTTATTGTATTTTTTAATGCATAAAACTTAGAACTTCCTCTTCACTGTCATATTTCTAAAGCAGCTTCATGACCAGTGAGGAGGAGCTCTCTGCTTCTGCTGCTTCTATGGTGAAAACCTGTGAAGTTTGTAAGTGGGAATTGTTCCGTGCAGGGAGACAGTGAAAAATCCACATTGAAATGCAGAGGGAGGGAGACATCCCAGGGCTGTGCTAGGACCAGCGACAGTCCGTGTGTGCGTACAGACCTGGCATGGTTATTGGTATTTTCATCAGGGCTTATCTCTGTTTTTATTTAAAAATTGTTACATGTTTACACCAGCCTCAGCTGAATTGCTGGTGTGACAGAAAGTGCTTTTCTGTAGACAACTATTTTACATTTTCCATTTTACCGTCTGGCTTTTTAACTACTTACCGCGTCTCTGTTTTCCATTTGTTTACACCTTGCTCCTGCCAAGCTTTTCTTTAGTACAAGATTTCAAAGCAATTTTACCTTTGTACATGTAGATTTGCAGCTGCTTGAACACAGCGCAGTCAAAATCCGTCAAACTCCTTTAAACTCCCCTGCAATTAGCTGGCGAGAGAAAAGGGGGGGTGGGGAAGAATGGCTCCTGTGTCTCTTATCTATCTATCTGTCTGTCTGTCTATCTATCTATCTATCTATCTATCTATCTATCTATCTATCTATCTATCTGTGGTTTCCCTCAACACTCCGAGGAAAAATGTTCCTTTTTGCTTTATGAATGATGTGCTTATGAAATGGAGCATTTGATGGCACACACTTGGAGCAGGCCAAGGGCGCACTTCCCCAGGTCGTGCTGGCAGCCTGCTCCCTTTCTGGTCTGCAGCACACTACTCCTTTATTCCAGATGTAGGCTCACCCTGAACAGAGGCTGCCTGATGTACAATGGCTTCACGGTGGAGAAAGACGGCCCACGGGGACCCACTTGAAGCTGCCAGCTGTGTTCTCCATCCTCGCTTGCAGCCTGTTACATAAGATGACCCATTTTTATTTTTTTTTTCTTTTTTCTTGCAATTAATCCAAGTAGAATATTCATACTGTCTCTAAAAACATATTAATTATTTGTAGCTTAGGCACTTTGAAGTTGGTCAGCTGCAAGGGGAAAAACCTGGTCCAAAGGGCTGCCTGCCCAAGAGAGTCAAGTTAGGAGGAAAGTTGAGTCACCAAAGAATGATGTAACTGCAGAGGACAAGAATTAGCCATCCAGCTGCAGCCTGACTTGACCATTTGTGTTTTTTCTTGCTGTAGCAGTGTTCACAGAAGTGAGGGAAGTAAATGTAGATCTGGAAGGCACTTCACGAGATGACCCAGAACCATCTCCTCAGAGACCATCTTGGACAAATGTTGGTCCATGAAACCCTTCCATAGTGGGAAATCCACAGTCTCTTTGCATAGGCAGGTCTGCTGCTACACTGGCTTTACAAGTAAAGTCCATGAGACAGATCTGAGCAGAGTTAACATTTGCTCCCAGGAGATGGGGAGCAAATCCCAAAGTCATAATTTTGACTTCTTATTTCTTTCACACTCTCAAAAGCAAGCACAGGTATCTTTCTGAATGTCCACCTTGGCCAAATCTTAGGTGAATCCCACAAAATTCTGTGGGCTGTCATACAGAGGTAATCAGCCTTCCTTATCTAGTGAGGCCTTTGCACTTAGGTTCTCAGGTTTTGAACTTCATGACTGTGACCTGCCTTTGGTTAAAGGCAGTTGAGGGATACAGGCTGGTCTGCAACAGGAGCTGGTAGTGCCTCTCTCTCTGTCCTTCCTCACAATGCTTGGAGTTTGAGATACCTGGATGGACCAACACCAGCAGATCCCTGCTTTAGACATGAAATGCTTTTGCACCAAGAGCTGAGGGTCCAAATACAGATTTACTGTGTCCCTTGTGTATGAAGCTGCAGGGATTATTCTGAGTGATGTATAAAAGAAGCTATGAGAATTACCCTGAGAGGATGGAAAAGTTCAGATGCTGCTAGGAATATGAAACTGACAGCAGGCAAGCAGCCAGCAGAATTGTGCGCCTGATCAGAAAAGACCAGTCAGGAGTTAAACCCATCCTGCTCTGGGAAGGGATTATTTGGGCACTAAAGATGGTGACATCAGGCCTGGAAACCCTTGGGTAGTAGAACTCCCTGGAGCAGAGTGAATACACCAGAATCCTAGCTTTATCTTAAAGACTAAGCACGCTTGTAGTATTTTTGTTTATGAAGGAAATCTTGGAAATATGATCCTTTTGAAAATTCAAAATTGAAGACATTAATCACTCAGCTTTCTTTATTTCTTTCTTTCTTTTAGAAAGACATTTAGAATTTGTGTTGTTGAAACTGGGATTCTCCAATAACTCAAGAAAACTGGTTTTAGGTAAAGTTTGAATGCATTTACAAATCCTTGGAATTGGCACAGAGCTTTACTATTAGGCTTTTTTGTGATGGAATCATGAAAGATGCACATTCAAAGCAGGAGCATTTCCGAGCTGGCTGTGAAGTTTCCTGGGTTGCTCTATGCAAAAGAGATAGCAGCTTTGTGGAGAGGGGAAGGGCATTCTGCTGAACACCCACTTTCTCCAAGAGGCTTGTCATTTGTTGCTATTAAGTGTTTTGCTCTGTGAAGGAATATTTGAGAGCGGGTCAGTTAAGAATAAATTTTGGATTTCTTTTTAATAAGATGTGTGATAGTGAGGAGGGCTGAGGAATGCACACTGGGCGCTGCACGTTGTGGGCCTTTTGCGTAATTCACATTCCAAAGATCTTTTGCAAATGATTAAACACAATTTTATGACTCCATTGTTAAACTTTATTGGAGGGTCTGCTTCCAAAGTGGATTTAACAACGGGACGCTCAGAGTGGCATCTTGTGAGGAGAATAGATGGTCCTAATTTCAGCCTGGGCTTCAGTGGGGGAGGCAGAGAGATTGTAGTTCTCTGTTACACTGTTTTTATTATGGGTACAAGGTACTTCATAGCAGTAAACCTCTCTGGAGCATTTTCATGCTGTAGCTCAGTTCCGTGTTTTAAGTAGATAAATATAGTTGACTCTTGCCCCTGCATTTGATGCGGCGTCTCATGTATCACTCTAATTTATCTCAAAGTATTCTCTGTCTTGACATGTCCTGTTAATCAGCAGGAGACTGGGCTTTTACCACTTCATTGAGGATCCCAGTTAAACCTGTTGAGATATTGCCTGTGTGCATGACTTTCAAGTTAACAAATTACCCACAGGTGTATATGTTTTCAGGCTCCAACTTTTGGGTTACCTCTTAGACACCTGGTTTGTTTTTCCTGTTTTTTCTACCTGTGGTCTAGGAGCAGTGTAACATTATTATGATTATGATTATTATTTACTTTGTCTGAAGATACTGATGTAGATACTGACATTTCCTGTATCTGAAAAACTCATCTTGCATTGCAAGTTTCAGCATATGGCCCTGGTGATCAGGTTGAAAAAAGCACATTTTCTTCACTTAATAAAGCCTCTGCTAAACAACATTGGCCTAAAATCTGCAGGTTGCTGCCAAAACCCTTGGGTTCGTCGATATATTTAGCAGTTTCCCTTCTCAGAAACAAGCAGCAATTTCTACATGCTCTTCACAGTTTGGCATGAAATTTTAATCATCTTTGCTACTTGGGCGTTTGCTTACTGTGAGAACATTACTTGTGTGCAGAACAGACCTAGTCAGAAATAGCTGACCTGGAGCCCAGTGACTACAACACATGGCCTAAAAATTGCCTCCAGATTGTGCATTTTGCTGTCTTGCAAGCTTGAAAACTTCCTAGGGTTTCTCATAATTATGTTGTCCTGGTTCTTTCCCTCTCTGAGAGAGTCCTCACAATCACCTTACATGTCTTGCTTGCTTGCTTTCTTTCCTTTTTTGCTCTGCTAATACCTGCCACACTTGTGTTTCCTTGTGCCTGATCCTTACATTAGGACTCGTGGGAACTATTGTTTATTTTGCATTTTTTGATTGCTGCAGAGTTTGTAAAACCCTTTTTTGATTTATATTTATAATAACAAAAAAATAATAATAAAGGTATCATTAACATCGCTTACTACCTTGCCTGCATTGAAAAGTTGTTCTCTTTGGTGGTCACATTATTATTTACAGTCTGTAACAGCTGTCCAGTAAAATAATATTTCATTGGCAGCTGATAATCTAAAGCTGGCATCTTCTTTCTTGTGTCCTGCAAACCCCTCTGGAGATGGAAACACTGCTGTCTAATGCAAGTCTGGTCCCTGCTGCAACAGCAGCTGCAATACGTGGTGTTCAGGGACCCCCTTGAACAGTGTCTTGCTTCTCTTCAGCCCTGCACAGCTTATCTCTGGGTTTTGGCGAAGGGCTTTGAGTCTACTGGTCGCTTCGGGAAGGATCAGGGCATTGAGAGCAGCCTCTCTGCGTGGCTCAGAAAAGCTGCAAACAGCCCTGCAAGGAACCTCCACATGCTGGCCCTGCTCTGTGCTGCATCCTCCTTTCTGCCTCCTTCGCTTCGACCACAGCTAACAAAGCAAAGCTCAGGAAAAACACCTGTCTAGCTTGAGCTATACAGATGTGCGATGATGGGCAGTAAGGTGCTAAATAACTCCCTCCTGTACCCTCGCAGCCCTCTCTCACTGTCCATAATCCACATTCAAGGACTCTCTGCACGTTTTCTCTCAGCGGGAAGGTTGCCGCATATGGAGGATGCACATCCTGAAGGGGACGGACGGGCTGGGAATCCAGATAACAGGAGGCAGAGGGTCGAAGAGGTCCCCTCACAGCATCATCGTCACCCGCGTGGAGGAGGGTGGCTCCGCACACAGGTGAGCTGACCAGTGGTGCCTTCATGGGGGAGGGTATGATGGAGCACTCGTGGCCATCACTGTTAGCCAGACTTACGGGACAGGCGTGGGAGATTTGCCCTTCCATTGTGTGAAGGTGGGAGTGTGGTGTTTTTAGGGGAGAAGCTTGTTCGTGTGGTGGGTCTCTGAAGCCCCTTTTGAAATGTTTAGCCCAAAAGTACAGACTGATCAAACACTTGCTCACTGATGGAGTGTAACTCAAGGATCCTGATGGCTTGTGGGTCTTTTTCCCCCAAGTCCCTTTTCAGAAGATAGGCCTTTCCTGTGGAGTAGGCAATGAGTGAATGTGGGCTATGCAGCCCAGGGTGCTCACTACCAGCCCTGGCCCTGCTCTCTAATGGGGGAAAGATAGAGCTTATTGCTGCAACCTAGTCATCTCTAGTGGGGCAGGGAGAAGATCAGAGGGGTCTTAGTCCTGCAAGGAGGTTGAAATGGCTCTGGTTATAACAATTATCTCCTGGGGCCACTTTTCTGAGTCACTTTTGGGCAAATGACACTATACTGATCAATGCAAGTGTAGCATCATCCTGGTCACATGTTTTCCATGCCTCTGCATCCCACTGCATGCTTTCCCCATCCCAGCACTGGGGAAGGACAGCCCTGCAGCTCCACCTTCCCGCTCTCTTTCCACAGGGACGGCAGGCTGACAGCGGGTGACGAGCTCCTCATGATCAACGGGCAGTCGCTGGTTGGGCTCTCCCACCAGGACGCCGTGGCCCTCCTTCGCTCAGCCGCTGGCCTGGTGCAGCTGGTGGTTGCTAGCAAGGTATGGTCCTCTCCTTGGTGGTCTCCTGAGCCACAAGAGTTTGTGCAAGTACTGTGTGAAAAGGGAGTCACACGCACATTTGCTCCCCTAAATTTAAAACACAGCTATGGGAAATATATCAGTAGCTGCCGCAAATCTGTGGCAAATTGGCAGACCATAGACCAGCTTAAGGATGTGCTTGTGTTGTCACTGTTGTTCAGTGTGCAAATGAACCTGTATTTATTCATGCAGACATTAGTTAAGTTTTGGCCAAAACCATTTGCTTAAAATACGTAAAGTAAAGTAGGCTGTTTCAGCCTCTTGTGCGTCCTACCTGCCTAGCCTCTGTAGCTCTCATCTGTTGTCCTGTCTGTGTGCCTGAAGTCTCTTGATGATGATATCTTGGCTTGAATTCCTTATTTTGTCCTTGCTAATAGCCTGGAGTGGAGCTCTTCCAGATAAAGGAGCATGAAATTTCAGGGAAATGAGAGTGGAACTCATTTATCAGTAGAGCTCTTCATTCTGCTTTCATCACAGGAGAGATGGGAAGGATATTGCACAATGTTTTTTCCTTTCTTTAAAAAAATCTTGCTTGCCCCCATTTGCCCTCCTCCCTGGACCACAGCCTTCTGCTCCTTGGGTTGATGCAGGTGTTTGGTGGGCAGCTGACCAGCTGCCAGAAGTGCCCAGGGTCTAAAAGAAGAACCTGTCTGCAGGTTGGGGCCATCAGGGACGTCGGGATGGTTGCAGGAATCTCTTGGGCCAAAGGGACTCTGCTCATAAATCTAACTCTCTAGGTGGAGCACGCTGTGTCAGCAGGCCACAGTGTCAGTATTTTTAAAAAGCTTTTTAGCTTCATCTTCAAATTTCCCCAGCCAACCTAATGCAGGTTTCTGTCTGTTTAATCTCCGGATGGTGTTGGACTTGCTGGGAAAGGCAAGTGGTGGGGAGCCCAGCGCGGTGCTGTGTTTCAGTCAGTCTCAGAAAAGGTGTAAAGAGAAGTGTTCCCCATCAGCTCCCTCTGGGTGTTTTTTGTTGATATGGGAAAGCAGCCTCACAGTTTGTCCAGGTGAGCACTCGGAACACAGGATTTGTTCTGAAAGGAGTAAAATGAGAGCCTGTCTGGCTGCTGCTTTCACCTGATTCATGTATTTGCTGCCTGGAAAATGTGCCAAGGACAGGAACCAAATCCTGAAGCATCAGGACTCAAGTTGGTAGAGGATCAATGGGTCAGTTTTCATTATGTTCTCCTAAGAAGGCATGTTATTCTTAGGCATGTAGATATATAATTGTGTGAAGGGAACATCCACAGGGAGGGAGCAGAAGCACAAAGTGTGGTTTGGGATGCAATGAAACGAGTAATGAGGTCTTGAGTGTGCTTGCAGTGACATTTAATAAACGCAGAATGGGGAGAAACAGGCTGTTGGGGAAGTGTTTTTTAAATTCTCCTTTATCACATCTAAATATTTAAGATAGGTATTGGCCTATGTTTACTATATATGTATTTTAAAACCAGGTCTGCTTTTTATAACTGGACCATTGAAGTTTGAGGAAACAAAGTATGTGATGAGGCGAGCATTACTAGGGAGCTTTCACTGGGTGGGTGAAATGGAACAGTTTCACTATGACCTTCGTGGTTTTCTGCATGTGATGTAACATATTTTGTCGTCTTTTGGGTAGGAATCTGCTGAAGGGGATTTTCTGGAGTACCCATCTACCAGTTTGCCAGACTTGCTTAGCAGTTGCTCAGTCCAGGACTCTGTCTCTTGCACTGACAATAAGGAAAATGAAGAGCCAGAAGAAGAAGATGTGAAGGGAGTGAACATGTCTCCTGAAACACTGGTTGCTGTAAGTGTGGCTTTGGTGTGATCTTCTTTTTCTCTCCCTTGATGACTGTTTGCATCTGTCACGTTCTCCTACAGCCTGACATGAAGCAGGCCCCTGGGATGGGATGATCCCACCCACGGGAGATGGGTGACAAGCTGAAATGGGGATATCGTCTGCTGCGGCGTCTGCCATCTCTGCCACTGCGCTGCAGCAAAGCAGCGGCACGGGGAGCAGGAGCTCTCATGTCCTCCAAGCCATATAGCAGTCATGCTTTTGTTTTTCTCTCTGCTTTGGATTGTTTTCCACCCACATCCACTGCTTTTGTTGGGTCTGATGCAAAGTCTCTCGCAGTACTTCTGCAGCAATACGCTCTTCTTTCCTCTCCTTTTGTGACTAAACTTCTTTCACAGCTTATGGTTCAAGTCTTCAAGTTTTATTTGCTCTGTCAAAGCCAACAGACACTTTTATGGGGAGGGATATGAATTTCTGCCTGTGAACCGTAACTGAAGTTCTGCTGAATAAATGCTACTGGTTGATAATCTTGCTTGCATTACCTTCAAGGCTGCATTAAGCAGAGATCAGGTGGATTATTGTTATTTATTTGTAATGTAGCAGCTCTCTGTTCATCAGTGTCCTGGACCTCTGTTTTATTGTACAGACAAATAATAAAATGATGTTTGCTACTCTAAAGAGCTTTTGCAGGGTGGTTTTCTGGCAAGAGGAGGCAGGTGGATTCACTTGAAGCTTTTAATCTTTTTTTTTTTTCCTTCCTGGCTCTCCGCAACATTCTTTCTGTGGCAATTATAATAAATATCTTAAACCTTTGGATGACTCAGGCTTGATACTGGATTGGTGACGTGTTCTGATTTTGTATTCTTATACTTTCCCTCTTGTGAGCAAAAGCCAGCTTCCTGGGATGAGTCTTGCACTGTAGTCTACCTGATGCTGGTTCTCACTTCATACCTGCCTGTTAACTCTGACTTTCTTTGAGTCTATGCTTATAACAGCTTCCTCTCTTGCATATCTCTTTACTGTGACAAGTTTTGTTATTTCTGTACTGTCTTCTCTTCTGTGTGCCAGGGTGCCTATTTGGGGAGACGAATGAAAAAACAAATAAACAGGGATGCTTAGCATGCTGATGACGGTGTAGTGTTTGTGTGCTAACTTGAGTGGGCACCTAGGCATTCTTTTGGCTATCTGGCCTTAAACTGTGACGCTAACAAAATACTTTAAATTCTTCTATATACCATGTTTCAAATGCTGGTAATTTTTCAGAAGGCTGTGGCTCAGCAACACTTAAACAGAAAAACCAACTTTGTCAAAACTTAGTGGCTTCAGGATGCAGCTTCCTGGCATTTCCAGTGACTCTTTCAACACAACACTAGGAGTTATTTGTCACTTGGTTTGCTCGCCTTGCCAGCAAGGCACTGCCTGGTTTTCAACGATGCCTTTTTTAATCAAGTATTTCCTTTCTAGATTAACATAACAGTAAGCCCTTGGGGCTAGCCAAGGTGCACGCTACCACGAGGTCCCAGCCATGTGAGGCTGCCCTGGGCGAGTTTGCTTCCTTCCCCAATGTCATTCCCTGTGCTGCTGTGGTGGGCAGTGGTGATAGCCTGATGGGGAGCCAGCTTGATTTGCCTGCCTATCTGGCACTCTCACCCCTGGTGGCAAGAGGTCTGTGCTTTTGTAATGCACAGCTGGAGGATGAAGGGGAAATCACAGAGGTCTGAGTAAACACATTAGAAGAATAGCAGGAAGATTATTTTTTTTCTTCTTTTCTCTGTTTCTGTTTTTTTTTTTTTGTTGGAGAGGTTGTAATTCAGAGTAATTTAATAAGTTCTTGAGCAGGACGTAAGAAGGTAAATGTATGGAAAATATAAACTTCACACATTAGTTCTTTCTACCTAGCAAGATGGGGAGCGGTGTGATTTTTCATAGCAAAGCTTTGAAGTTGATTTCAAGGTCAGTATCAAAGTGAAGCATCACACGATTTTATTGAAAAAAAAAAAATATATATATATGTATAATCATACAGATTGTTGCAAAATTTCTTTGGAAATGACTGTGCTGCTTCTCCTCTCAATGATACTCCAAGTATTGAGAACCATGATTTATAGACCTTATGGACTTGCCATTAGTGCCTTAATTAATGGATCAGTGTTATCTCCAGGAGCTCTGCTGGGCACTCCTGAGAGAGACACCCTCTTGCAGCTCATCTGTGCATTGTGAGGTGTTCAGTGAAGTCACGTTTGATTTCAAAGGGAAATTGCCAGGCAGAAAAGATAATTACTTGAAGCTAATGTATGTATTCAAGTCGTCATCCTTGTAGATACTACGAAGACAGCTGGACCTAGAACCTGACCTAAGCTGTCTCTGCTTTGAGATGGTAGCAAGACCAGGGACTCCCAAAGGTCCCTTCCAAGCTGACTTACTCTACAATTCTATGAAAAATTTAAAAAAGCATAAAAACAAACCAGAAACAATTTAAGAAATCTCTTTTCTACAGGCTGGATGTGACTTTTTCTTTCTGATGAAGTTCTTTAAAACTCTGAAGTTCTGCTCCAGTGTTTCCAGTCAGGGAATTATAATACAAGCAAGTCAGCTTCCCCAGAACACAGCAGAAGAGTTTACTGACACCTAAAAACTGTAATTTAAGAGAAATAACACTTGTAAGAGATACAAACCACTTGTATTTCCTTAATAAAAAATTCATAATACTATTTAATTGGATCTCCATTTTTACACATTTTTCTTATGTAAAGCCGTGTTTAACTTTAAACATCTCTTAAATGTTCTAACTTTATTAGAACTTGTACCACCAGGTAGAAAAAGAATTACGTTAATACCATTAAAGTGCATTTCTTTTAGAGCTAGTTTGGCTGAATGTTCCTTAACTTTAGATACAAAATACAGGGCCACACGGTTCTGTTGTGTTAAATTGTCCTGAGGCACTTTGGGGATTTCAAACTTGAGCCCCAAATCCATATTTTGCCTTGTGCAATTGACACGGCTATTTTAAAATGTCATTATTTATGTCCAGAGGAAATAGGATGATGTTATAGTATTTGCCTTTGACAATTTATTTTTAATTCTAATTCACTTTTCCCAGTATTTCTATTGCTTGAAATGGATTCTGTCACTGAATTGCTGGCTGACAGAGCAATCTGGGAAATGAACACTAAACAGAAAGCAGGTCTGCCAAGAATTTGCAAAGTGTCTCATTATTTTGGGGTCCCCAGACAGAGTTGTTCAAAAGTTTGTTTCTGCTGGTGCTATGTTGTTCAGTACATGGTGATCTGAGTACTTTACTTATGAAGTGTTCAACTTCAGTGACCAGCTTCATATGAATAGGCTGAAATTCCAAAAATTTACTAAATGCAACAAAGAAAAGGTTGTCTGCTTCGATGGGTTTGCATCAGTAGTTGCTCAGGCAGGGAGGAAAGCCTAGGGCCCATTCCTCTATACTTGGCTTAAACTTATGCTCTCCCTTGGGTATCTCCTGCTCATGATGCTGGAGGCAGGACCCCAAGCCAAGTCTATTCCACACAGAGTAGAAATATACAAACCTGCCTGCTGAGGAGAAGCTGGAAAGTGAGGCAGCTTGCCTCACCATGCCCAAGCCAGCCACGTAGGCAAACCCCAGGGGAAACAACCTCTGGCAATGTCCCCTTTGCTGTGGGATGGTGAAACTCTTTTGCTCTCGTTTAATCATTTTGTGTTGACCTTAAGTGCCTGCTGTATACCTTCACATGAGCTGTGGGCATGTTGTGTGCAGAGATGGCCATGACCTACCAAAGTCTCGATCCTGCTAAAAGTAGCAGAAACAGGATGTCTCTGGATAAAGGTTTCTTGCATGAGCTGGGTTTCCTTATCCTTGCCAAAACCTACGTGTGTTTCCCGCAAGGCATGCGGTTGAAAGTGCAACAAATGTGTTCTGTGAATATGCAGAAATGCATTTGTTTACCCCTCCCCTTCCCCATGTTTATATTTTATCTGAACCATAGGACTGCTTAGTTATTTTCTGTTGTGAGCCTTTCTGTCTTACCAGGGAATCCATATGTAATTACCTGTAGCCATGCAAGCATAATAGGGAAGAGGATAACAATGCCATAAGTTTAAAAACACTCTCGGGGTCAAAAGTTCTTCCCTGGTAGAGATTTTCAGAGAAAGCATTAGCATTGAGAAGGAACAGGAAGCATAACTCAACAATTAAGTGTGTGCAGAGCGTGGGGAGGGACCCTCATTACTTGGAGGACTTGAGCGTTCGTTCCCATTAGGGCACTGCAGTCTCAAAAGAGGTTGCTGAAATATGACTCACTCCTCAAACAGCACTGCACGGCTGGAAAAAGAGCAAGAAAGAGCTTTTGCTGTCAGAAGTCAGCTTTGCATTGAAATGCTTTAGTTGATGGGGGGAAGAAGGTGAAGAGCCTGGAGTGAAGCTTGGCTGCGGCCAGCCCTTGTCCTGGAGAAAGGTTTAATAACTCGTTTTCTTTTCCTGGTGAGGGCTGGAAGAGTTTGTAGATCCTGCCTCATGACGCATCATCCTTGGAAGGAGCAGGTGAGGCCAGAGTCCTGCTGCACTTTATCATGGCTTGGGGCTGCTGCTCAGCTGCAAATGTTGCATTTGTTGAAAGTCTGCAAGCCCCCTACCTTCCTGTGGTACAGTCTTGCCCAGCATCTCTGTGGACTTGTGCCCATGCAGTGCCCTTCACTCATGCTGTAGCTGAGCAGACATACTGGGTCCTGCAGTGACTCTGGAGGACTGAGGACATGCATATTTTTAGAGTAAATGTAGTTAGGAATTTGGACAAGAGAAAATAACAAAATATTTGGCGACCTGTACTGTTTCCAGAACCTGTATCACATTAAAATAAGTGATTGCAATTCATCTTGTTGCCAGGGGCACGTTCAGTGATGGGCTGATGGTGGCACTGGCAGGGGCTAAGGGAAGGTGTGGACACACATCGCATGAATCTGGGGAGGATGAAAAGTGGTGAAAAGCCCCCAGCAGGGCAGTG